GGATAGTCTCGAGAATGTCTCCAGCGCCGTCTGCCACCAGGGCCTTGGCTACGGTGATACCGAAGGCCTCAGCACTTTCAGCGGAGGTGACATCGGCTTCTAATTCGACCTGAGCACATTCTTTGCCATCGACACTGACAACAACAGACCGCATCCGCAACTGCTTAGCACCCTGCGCATTTTGGACCCATTCGGTTTCAACGCCCAACGGGGCACTGCAGCCCCCCTCAAGAGTCCGCAAAAGACTCCGCTCAGCCAAAACCGAGAATGTGGTATCCTGGTGACCAATTTTATCCAACATATCCTGCAGAACAGTGTCCTCCTTGCGAATTTCGATACCAAGGGCACCCTGCCCGACAGCATAGAGCATGCCGCTGTTCTTAGAGTCCAAATATTGAGTGATGCGATCAGCCAAATCAAGACGCAGCAGACCAGCAGCGGCCAGAATGACACAGGTGTAAGGGCTATCTTCAGCGTCTAGCTTTGATAGGCGAGTTCCGATGTTGCCACGGACATCCTGGACCTTAAGGTGGGGGTACTTCCGGGCCAATTGTGCTGTGCGGCGGATGGACGAGGTACCAACCACGGACCCTGCGGGGATTTCAGACAGACTCTTGTATGGCAAACCTTGTTTCACCACAAGAACATCCCTGCTATCTTCGCGGGGCATGCTCGGGCCTAACTTGCAGGAAGAGGGGAGAGTAGTGGGGACATCTGATAATTTCCAAGAAGTTGTCGTCAGCACTATTTTAGGGTTGAAACAGCCACGCTGTTTGAGATTGAGGCATTATCAAACCTTTCAGCGAGTGCACGATAACATCGACCTGTCCGCCGATCATCAATTCCTCCAATTCCTCCGTCCACAGGTTCTTAGTGGTGAAATCTCGCAGTGCGATAGTGGTGTTCAGGTCGCCGGCTGTCTCCTTGGAGAAGACCTTATATTCATATTGCGGGAATGCCTTCTTCAATGCCTCGAGGACCAGATCTGTCTGGAGAAGAGCCAGTTTAGACTTGCGGGTGCCGATAGTGATGGTCTTTCGGGTGGGGGCGGGGGTAGTCATTTTGAGGGGGAAAGAAAGTGTATGCGGAGAATGGGCTTGGAAGTAATGCGAGTAGGTATGTACGATGTTGTATGAGCTATGCCCGCAGGATACCAAACTGCCGAGGAAAGTCGGGCGAAGAGGCGAAAGTGGATTTGGAGAACTCCGATCACGGGACATGTGCAGATCAGGTAATTTAGTCCTCGAGTACAATCCTGGAGTACAAGGTTAGGGATATAGAATAATATAGGAAATAGAGATAAGTGAATAAAAGTAGACTTGAATATAATATATGTAGATCTATAAAATAAGATATAAACTATAAACAATCCAAAGCAAATTCCTTGAATTCTTCCCCATGATCGTCACAACCTCGGCTTCGGGAGCTGGAGATTGGGAGACATGCGACTTATCTCCCCCGGACTTCCCAGCTACGCCCACGGCTGATTCTGGGCCTCCATCTCTCCTCGTCATATAATCCATTTACCTTTTCCCCTCTCCACCCTCCACATTCCACATTCCACATCCCCCCCATCTTCCACCTCTCAGACACTTCATACCTTCATCTCCCCGAATCCCCATCTTTGCCACCCCATTTCATCATCACGAGGGCTCGTACAAGATGGGATCCAACGGTAGAACCACCAAGATTCCCCTCGTACCTCTTCCCAAGGGCTCGGTTCTGCTACCCGGTGTGACTTTACGCATTCCAGTCTCCAACCGTCCCGATCTCGCCAATCTCCTTTCGTCACTTGTAGACAAGCCTTCGAAGCGAGATGCGAATACCATCACCTTCGGCTGCGTTCCACTCAACTCGCCATTCCTGAGCCGGGATGGACAGCAGCTCCTCGAAGGCGATGACTCGGACTCAGAGCGAAAGGAGGAATACGACTCGATTGACGCCGGTCAGGCACGCAAGGAGGACCTGTTCCGTTACGGAACTATTGGCAAAGTCATCGGAGTTCAGCGCCGGGCCTACTCCGAACCGTTCTTGCTTGTCCAAGGCTCGCAAAGATTCACCATTAAGAAAGTGCTGCGGGACCGGCCATACTTCGAGGCCGATGTCTTCATTCATGATGAATCCAGTTAGTTTCCAAGGACACAAAGTACAGAGACCACATGGCTAATCATACTTCCTATGTTTCTAGATTCCGGCCAAGGTGACGCAGAAGTCGCTGAACTATTCCAACAATTGAGACAGCTCTCTCGGGAGCTTCTTACCCTCCTGCGCCTCTCCTCCTTGCTGTCGGCAGCCTCCTCTCGTCTCTCGCCACTCGTTGCCCGAAAGTTCGAGCTCTATATATCAAAGACAGAATTGACACAGGCTGGGAAATTAGCCGATTTCATGGCAGACGTATCTGACGCAAGCTTTGAGGAAAAGCTACGTATCCTCGGCTCGCTGGATGTTAAGGAACGATTGGAGAGGGTTGTCGAGATCCTCACCAGACAGGCACAGCATATTAAGAGTAGCGTCAGGGTCACCTCAGTTGGCTCGACTTCGTTCCCATCCTCCGGAATGGATATCAGTCAGATTGACCCGCGTGAACGTGAGCTGCTCGCAAAGCGTGCGATTTCGGGTCTCTCCGGCATGACACCCCCTGGCGGGCGTGGCAACGACGAAGAGAAGGAGCCTAATGAAGTAGATGAGCTACAACAGAAGTTGAATGATGCAAAGCTTAGTCCCGAAGCTCGGAAGGTTGCGGACAAAGAATTGAAACGTCTGCGAAAGATGAACCCTGCCAACGCCGAGTACGGTGTTTGCCGGACTTACCTGGAAAACTTGTCAGAAATCCCGTGGGCCAAGGTGACAGAGGACCAGCTTGGACCGGACACATTGAAGAACGCCAGGAAGCAGCTGGATGAGGACCACTACGGCCTCGAGCGAATCAAGAAGCGACTGCTGGAATATTTGGCTGTGTTGCGCTTGAAGCAGTCCACAAACTTGGATGTTGAACGCCAGATCTCAGGACTCTCCAGGGACTTGGACGCCTCGGCAGTTGGAGATGTCGAGAAGGATGTCCCCCTGCTGTCAGAGTCTGACCGGGTTGCGTTGGAGACCCGCCTCGAGATCCTCAAGTCCAAGCGTATGACCGACAAGTCCCCTATCTTGCTATTGGTTGGACCCCCTGGAACTGGTAAGACTAGTCTGGCCAGGTCTGTTGCTGCCTCGCTTGGCCGAAAATTCCACCGGATCTCCCTTGGCGGTGTCAGAGACGAGGCGGAAATCCGGGGCCACCGACGTACATACGTTGCAGCCATGCCTGGTTTGGTTGTAAATGCGTTGAAGAAGGTCGGAGTTGCAAACCCTGTCATTCTGCTTGATGAGATTGACAAGGTCGGCGGCGCGAACTTCCAAGGCGACCCGTCCGCCGCCATGCTAGAGGTTCTTGATCCTGAGCAGAACCACACTTTCACCGACCACTATATCAATATCCCTATTGACCTGAGCAAAGTTCTTTTCCTTGCTACTGCCAACTCTTTGGACACGATTCCGGCACCTCTGCTTGACCGCATGGAGACCATCGCCCTGTCTGGATACACCACTGTGGAGAAGAGGCACATTGCCAAGCAACACCTAATCCCGAAGCAGATTCGATCCAACGGTCTGAACGAGGGCCAGGTAAACCTGTCCGATGAGGTGATTGATAAGACCATCACCTCGTACACCCGTGAGTCAGGTGTGCGCAACCTGGAGCGGGAACTTGGCTCTATCTGTCGCCACAAGGCTGTTCAATATGCCGACGCCGGGGACGCCAACCGCCTAGATGATTATAATCCTGTTGTATCAGTCGATGATCTGGAGGACATCCTGGGAATCGAGCGGTTCGAGGAAGAGATCGCCGAGAAACACGGTCGTCCTGGTGTGGTCACAGGCCTTGTCGCCTACTCTACTGGTGGCCAGGGTAGCATCCTGTTTATCGAGGTGGCAGACATGCCCGGCAATGGACGTGTTCAGCTAACCGGTAAGCTGGGTGACGTGCTCAAGGAATCTGTCGAAGTAGCCCTGACATGGGTGAAGGCACACTCCTTCGAGCTTGGTCTCACCCACGACCCCGGTGAAGATATTATGAAGAGCCGTAGCCTGCACGTCCACTGCCCCTCCGGCGCTATCCCCAAGGATGGTCCCTCTGCTGGTCTCGCCCACACTGTTGCATTGATCTCCTTGTTCAGCAACAAGCCCGTCCCACCGCAGATCGCCATGACTGGCGAGGTCTCTCTCCGTGGCCGGGTCATGCCTGTCGGCGGTATCAAGGAGAAATTGATCGGTGCTCTGCGCGCGGGCGTCAAGACGGTGCTGCTGCCAGACCACAACCGCAAAGACGTCAAAGAGGTTCCACAGGAAGTCAAGGATGGTCTGGAAATCATCTATGTTAAGTATGTCGTCTCCTCCCAACCTTGGTTTCGTTCACCTGCTAACAATTGTTCACAGGAATATTTGGGAAGGGCTTCATCGGGTCTGGCCCGATGCCCAGTGGCCGGGCCACCAACAGATGAATTTTGTTGAGAGCCGACTGTGAACCGTTTATAACACCTCAAGTTCAAGTCGTTCCGCCTCTCTCTCTCATCTGTTGTCCAGCATTCTGGTCTCCCCCACCCTCATTTTTGCATAGCGTATAATAGCCCCAGGCCCCAGTGACTTGTATTTAATCAGCTTGTCTTTTATGATGCGTTCATGCCAGTCAATATTTCGTGTCTATATCACTCAACATATCGGGTTTCTTTCTATCGCTAACACCACAATTCATAAAATATATTTTACCTTAGATTCAAGTAAACCTTGACCAGATCAGAAAAGATGATACGCCATATTCAAGATGTATACAATCTACCCAGAGTATAATACACAGATCCAGCCAAGCTAACATGGACCAGAAGATAGAGCAAGAAACACCAATTTTCCCCAATGGAGGGAGAAAAACAAACCATTCAGAACAATGCAACGAATCCCATCAAAAACGATTACCGCGCTCCGTGCTTCCGTCCCTTAGCGAACCAAGCCGGCAGCGTAGAAGCAGGGACGAAGCCGCCATTCTTAGCCGCCTGGTGTGGCTCCAAGCCCATAGCCTTCCATGTCGGTCTCCAAGTCTCCTTCTTCTCGAGCAGCGCCTTGGCCTGCTCCTTGTAGGCCTCGCGCAACTCGCGATCGGGCTGTTCACCCTTGTTCGGCTTGGGGTTCTCCTTTTCTTGTAGGTCGATCTGGAACTTCTCGGCCTTTGACCAACTCTCATGCTCCCAGCTATTGGCGGAAATTGGTTAGTTATGATGATCAGTTTGATTAGAGGTGCATGTGTAGTATTGGGAATGTAGGCAGGGAAAACAAAGGAATTGAACTTGAAAAGAACCAGAAGGGTGAGAATGGGCGTCACATACGGGGTCAGATCCTTTGGCTCCTGGGGGTACACGAAGGGCTCCTTCAATTCAACAGTCATGCGCTTCTGCGACTTAGGTCGGCGCCATGGGCCGAAACCCTTGCCATCGCGCGAGATTCGTGTGATTGGTTGTGCCTGGACGTAACTGCGGATGCTGAGGGTTCCGACTCCGTACAAGTGCCATAGGTAGCTGCGGAGATCGAACTTGTTGAAGTTGAGGGGGACGCGGAATTGAGCATATCGGGGGGTGAGGTTGGGGGTTCGGACGAGAGCGACGCGGAATTCAGGCCTAATGTGGCGAGAAATTAGCTATGGTGTTTCTTTGTTTTGTGGCAAATGTCCAATTGAGCCGGTCAATTCTGCTGAGATGTTGTTTTTGATCGAGCGGAGTTCGGGTTCTTGGAAATTTTGGGCAACGTACAGGTACACGGGCTTGCCGACGACGCTGGGCCATTGGGTTTTGGGAGGTTGCTGGACACCAGCCTGGTTTTGCAGGCGGCGAAGTGCTTTCGCTTGAACGCTGCTGAGACGCACCATCGTGTTGTTGAGTGGAGGAATCTGGAGGTTGGAGGTGCTTGCGGACCGCGCATCAAAACTGCGTTGGCCGATCTAGTCACATGACTTCGATATACACGCCAGTAGTGAACGACGCAACACTCAAATCTTGGATGTTCAAGCAAGAGTCGGAAATGATTACACTGTATATTTAGTGTAGTATTAGGTATATGTTTGATGTTTCTTCCCTAAACGAAGAGTTTGAGATGCTAGAAGATATTCCTTGATAGGAAATTTTGAAACCTATATTACATGCTTTATTCATCGTAAATAGTCATTAAAAAAGCCCAAGATCGTTTCCTTTTATTGCTCCGCCGATCCCGAGACTCGAAGTTCTTCTAACCGCTTGGTGCTGTCATCGACATCTTCAGAGTCCTTGGTCTCGTGGGCATCACTGGCCTCCTCGGCTTCAGATCCAGAATCTTCCTCATCATCCTCATCCTCATCCTCATCGTCATCATCGTCGCTATCCTTAGAAGCCTCTCCATCTCCTTTGACTCCCACGTCGGCCATGTAAGCCTCGAGCTCACGGGCCATCTTGCGTGAGAAACCTGAGGCTTCAACTTCGACATCCAGGCGTTTGCCAGGGTTCTTAAGGAGCTTCTTTCTAGCCTCGGCGAAAGTAGGGCCCTTTGAGTCGCTCACAAAGTGGAACTTGCGCTTGAAGTAACGCTTGATACATTCCACATCACGGTCGAAGTACATTTCGGCGTTAACGTGGTCAACAGACAACATCTGAGGGAAATCAATGAGAACCGGGACCAGCCGGATATGCTCATCTTCCTCTTCCTCAGTGAGCTCTTTGCCCTTCATTTCGGGGTCTAGCTCTTCCTTGATAAGGATATTGAACTCGTTGAAGTCACCATGGATAAGACCGTATCGCGCAAGATCCAAGATCATGTTCATAAGCTCGGAGTATAGCCCAGCGGGGTTGGCGACTTTTGAGATTTGGCGCAGAGGGAAAGCATCAATTAGACTCATGACGATGGTGTGTCGGTTCTGGGCGATGGGTTCGGGGACGGAGAATCCGTTCTCGCGCAGAGCCTTCATGAAAGCGAACTCCTTCATTGCTGCCAATCGAGACATGTACATCCATGAGGCTGAGCTGCGGTGTCGTAGGTAGTCACGGTTCGTCTTGACTGTTCGGAATGAGATACGGCCGAGACGGTGGATTTTCATAATGCGCTGCGCTCCGCTGCTTTCTGCCACGACGATAATGTCTGATTCCTTTCCCACGCCGATTTGGTTGCCAACTGAATAGATGACCTTTGACTTTTGGTGCGCGTTCAGCGCAAGATAATCCAATCCTCCGTATGCGAGTCGGTAGCCGTCATCTATATGTAAAATACTTGTATTAGTGATAAGATCAGACACAGAAGTAAATGAAATGCATACACTTGGCATTCTTGACCTTTGCAATCAAGTTGATTTTCGCGAGGTTTGAGATTGCGCGGTTGACACCGCTGCCGCCCCGGAGGCCCGAAAGTTGCGAGATCAACGGTGTTGGAACGACCTCATGGTTTCGGCTGCCAGCTTCACACTATGACAATTCACATGTTAGCTAATGAAGAATGCGCGACAGAATATCCCCCAAAGAAAGAACATCGCGGGGTAAACCCAAGAGGAGGGGCCGATAAGTACCGCTGCAAGAACTCGGAAATCCTCGTTGGTAAGGTAACGAATAGCCTTAGCGTCGAGTTTCATGGTTGCGAGGAACTGAAGGAGCTTTTCACTTTCTTCTAATTTCCTTGAATTGATTCGTTGGAAACCAGAACTTCAAGACGAGTTGAGCCAGTCAACGATACAGCAGAGGAAAAAAGTTGATAAGAACCTAGCCCTAAGCCCTATTTCCTATCCTGGATGAGAACCTTGATAGCTTCGCCTTTGTTTGGATAGCACCAGGCGATAATTACAAAATTCTGGCTGAATATCTTTCAAATGTAGATAAAAGGCAAGAGATGAGTTCCAGATGGGTGTCTCTACTCGTAAACACCAGGCTTCACAGATCCACTGATGTCCAAAATACATACGGAGTAGTCTACTCACAGACTCTAGCAGTTGTGGTAGAAGCCAAACAGAAATAAAAGTTGTAAAATAAATCCATGCTATTCTTCATTCGTTCTGAATACATTAGATCCAACGATAACCCGACCACTATACGAGTCCCGCTGGTTGCGAGCAATGGATGTAAATCGGGGAATATCTAGTCTAGCTTGCTTATTCGGGGCTTTCGTAGTCCGGGTTCTGGAAGATAGGTTAGTACTGGCAATTTGGATCTGAGATAAGGAAACTTACTTTGCGCAAGATGACCAAACCTTCAAGAGTGCTGCTCAGAGGGATGTACTGCTCATCCTCAAGCTCAGCTCTCTCACCATGGGACAGAAGGACTGGTGTGCTCTGAGTCTGCCATCCAGTGATGGTCTTAGGGCGACCCGCTTGGCCGACCACGTCCACAGCTTGACCGACGCGGACGTTGACGGTAAGTGGCTGAAGGTCCTCGTCGAGAGTAATAAGGAAGCGGGGGAACATGGCGGTAATGAGGAAGTAGAGCAGGTAGTGGTGTTCAGCGAGGATGAATTGCTTAGCATCGATGAGTGATACAAGCACAGTAAGCAAACCCGCTGCTGAGACACGGGAAAGGACCTGTCGGTCGGTGTGGAAGGGGTTAAGAGTCATGGTACCCTTGCCCATGTGTAGGAGACCCTGAGCGATGCGAACCATGAATAGTGAGTTCTGGTCGCGGTGGTAGTAGCTGGCCAATTGCCGGAGAAGCTGTGCAATACGCGCATTGTTGGTACCCGCGCCACAGAGACCCATGGCGAAGATGGCATTAATAGCAACATCGTTGTCATTGTCGTGACTGTAACGGGACAGTGTATCGTAAACCTTCATTTGTGGGTTGCTGGGGCTGATTAAACCCATAGCCAGGGGAACTGCCCGGCGAATGTTGCTAGATCCGTAGTGCATGAGGTGACCGAACTGGCGGAGAATCATATCCTGTCCGACATCCTCGCCCATGGAAATGAGAGACAGGCCGAGAACAGCGTATGACTGAACAAGCTCATCGCCCTTGTTTTCCTCCTTCTCCTCAATTATGTCATTGCAGATGTGCAGAAGCTCTTGTAGCTTGAGCACTGTACCAGTGCCTGCCCAAGCGCATACTGAGGCAAGGACTGAAGTGGGCTTAGCCATTGGGTGGTCAACTGCCTTAAGGATATCAAGGATAACGTCAACCTCCTCTTGGCGGCCGAAGTACAGAAGTGCCAGACCAAGGGCCATGAACCTCGTCCACTTGTCCTTGAGCTGCTTCTGACGCTCCTCGTCCATCAAGGTCGTCGCGATTGCCTCGCTAACCTGGTGGTTTGATGAGCCGACAAAGATGAGACCCAGGGAGACTGCTGCCATGGCAGACAACTGCATGTCGAGTGAGGCATCCTCCACAATCGGAAGGAGAACCTCAAGCAGTTCTTCCTTGTTGGAACCGGCGTATGCCAGACCAAGACCCATGATGGACGCAACTCTCATCGGCACGTTCTTCGCCTCAAGGTTGTCAGGGTCACTCAAGAGGGCAAGGGCGGGGTCGGAGTCAAGTCGGACGCCGGAGTTCAGGATACCAATAGCGAGCAGTGCACCGGCCTTAACCTGGTCTTCTTGCGCGTAGGTGAACTTGTCGATCTTATCCAGCCCATCCTCGACATCACGGTGTAGCAGCATGCCGAGCGACGCAGTTGTGGAAAGCATGCCATCATCCTTGGTCTTCCACACCCATGGGCCCTTATCGCCCTCCACTAACATCATCTTATCGTTACCAAAGCCGGCGTTAGCAAACGAGTTGACAAAGGCGCTGGCCAAGTTGTGTCGTGCGGAATCAAGATTGGTGAGGCCGGCTCCGCGACTGCTCTCGAGATGTGTCTTGTAGATATCCTCCGGCATCTTGGGGTCCAGAATGTTGAGTTCCTTGGCCAGAGATTTGAAGTGCTTCGGAATGGAAGTGTTGTTGAGACAATCAGCCAACGCCTCTCCCTCCTCATCCTCGGCCGGGAGGTCGAGCCAGATCTGCTGCCGGGCGACAAGGAAGGCCATCTGTTTCTTCAAAGCCTTGTCAGTCGTGGCGTGAATGTCACTCTTGATAAGATCAGTGTCGTTCAACCGGATAGCGAGCACGATCGCTTGCGAAAGTTTGTTGTAGCGGACGTAGATCCCGTGGGCGGTTCGAAGGAATTGCTGATCTTCAGGGTAAGTGAGGAGATTGACCATGCTGACCATATACAAGCAGACTCGAGCGTATGTGTTCTCGTCAACGAATTGGGGAATATCTTCGATGATTTCCAGTTCGCTCATGAGATCAACCGCATCGGCTTCGGCGTTGTGACTCAGGAAATAGGGGACCAGCGACAAGGCAAGATCCACTAGATCTTGAGTATCCTGGTCTGCGTTCAAACGGTTCTGATATTCCTGTCCGATTTCCAGCGCGAGATGTCGGACATACTCGTGACCCCAAGAGCCAAGGTCCTCCGATTTGGCCAGCAGGCGGTATTTGATGGTCTCCAGCTTCTCTTCGTCTCCGTAGGTCATTCCAAGCACGGACAGCATATCAGCCAACGAGTTCTATGAAATAATATTATTAGATCGACACAAAATAATGGAAGCGCTGCGGAACCAACCTGGACAGGGCCTGGGGCCCATTGCTCGTATAGCCCTGCAAGGTCATCATAATGCGGTCGGAGGAATTTGAGAGGCTTAGGAACAGCTGTCATGGAGGATGTAGAAGTCTTGATGAAGTTCTTGATTGCGTCCAAAGCAGGTCCATAGAGCGTGGTATCGGGTTCCTATTGAGAGGAAAGAAGATGATTAACGTCATTGTGCTATGCGCATGGGACAGGAGAGTGACGGTACCTTTAACCGCTCAACGAGCATCTCAAGTTCGCTCTTCAACTGCTCATCTTCTTCACTAAGTTCATCTGTACATAATTTTGTCAGCATGTTGCTTTGAGTGCTACCTTGGACACTTGAGAGAAACCACATGCTCCGTTGCGAGAACCTGGGAAATGCCTTATCGCAACGTACCATCTGGAGATGCCTCATCTTTCTTCTTTTCGTCTACTGGCTTCTCGCCATTTTCGCTGTTCTTTCCGTTCAACTCGCGAACATCATCAACCTTGCCCTTGCCCTTGTCGGCGGAGGTTGGCCGTTCGCCCTCGTTGGCCATTTCTGATGGTAGCTGGGGACCAAGTCGGGGGGAGATCGAAGCGGCGTGGGAGAGGTCGGTATCAAGCAGATGAGCAGAAGATAGTGTTACAAAGCAGAAATAGATGAAATTCTGCAAGGAAAGTGTAATGCAAGTGGATTGTAAGCTGGTGATGGAGAAGCAGAGCTCGGTCTGGTGCAGCTCCGGAATTGGATTACATAAGATGCCAAGCCCTGCGGAAGGCCCTCGTCATTGTTTTGGATTTCCAATGCGACGACTTCAATTCTATGGCTCGAATGCTTATGACTCTGATTTACTTGAGCGTATGTTCAAAATGAAATTCAAATTTCCACATCCCTGTTTATATATAGGAAGCTTCTCTGTATAATTAATGGTTTTTACTGCCTTCGTATACAGCTACAAGAGACATCCAAAAACACGTCGGTATGTTCTTCCACATAATGCTTCTAATATGATATTGGGCCAAGTAGGCCAGATTATTGAAGTCTTACATAGCCAAGAACACAGGCCACATGTACGGCCGACTATTCTCGTGTATCCTGAACTCGGTAAACATGCCGGTAAAATGACAACTCAAATCCTGGAGATTTCGCCGGGAATTCATTCTTAAATGCAAAATAATTGGTCTGTCAAGGGCTCATCAATCTTGCCATCTCTGGCACATCCTCCGAAATGAGTACGAAACTGTCTGGCATATTCTTCCGTCTGTTTGCTGTATGCCGTAGCCGTTAATTCCTCTCCATCGTATGAAAGCAGAGGCAGAGCATCAAGATCGGGGAGACCCGAAGAGAACAAGTCAAGCAGTGGCATAACAGTTGATGCACGGTTCAGCGGTTTTTCAATAGACCCCAACCCGGCAGAAATCCCACCTGTACGCGGTTGAGTTGGATCATGAATGACTTGAGTGGCTTCTTCAACCGAGCTTGCGGGATTGCTATTCTCGAATTCTTCTGGGGTCTGATATAGCTCGTTGTGTACTGTGGCAATCGAAGAAGATTTGATGCCTGGGAATGATGGGTATAGCAGATAATATCCTTTGGCACGGATCATCTCGAGCATGTGTTCCATAAAAGCCGGATATTTCTCCGATATAATCTTTGTTTGGGAGGCCTCCGCGGATTGCGGAGTTGACAGGCGCTTGGCCATGAAGGAATGAAACTCCGCCCATGCATCACCAAAGTACAAAGCTGCATTACTATTGGGGGCCTGCCAGAGGAACGAGGGGAGAAACTGTTCTTTGCCTTCAACGGTCATGGGCGGCGGGGTAAAAGATTGGCTATCAGCCGTGGGTTTGAATGATGGCAGTTCAAGTGAGATGCCGATCATATTGGAAAATATGCGCTTGGCCCGGGCAGACTGCTTGTAGTTCAGTACAGCAAACTTCAGATAGTGATAGAATGACGGTGCGAGCTCGGTCTGTGGAGATAGCAGAAGCAAATGTGTCACCTCAGGGTCCCGTGGATAGAACGACTCCACGGTTCGAAGCGATGATTCT